TAAAAATCCTTAAAAGAAACGGAATTGACTGAAAACCCGTTTTGGAAATGGGCAACCTAAAGTTTTACAGATTTGACATCGTAAATCATGATCAATATTTGTGTAAAACATGAGATATGTTGTAAAATGTAAATATTAAGCTGGAACTTTTTTCATAAACATGCTTGATCCCTCAAGTAAAGTTATTATACCCTCAGGGTATGAAGTTAACATGCTTGATCTCACTAGTAAAGTTATTATACCCCCAGGGTATGAAGTAAACATGCTTGATCCCTCAAGTAAAGTTATTATACCCCCAGGGTATGAAGTAAACATGCTTGATCCCTCAAGTATAGTTATTATACCCCAAGGGTATGAAGTAAGCATGCTTGATCCCTCAAGTAAAGTTATTATACCCCCAGGGTATGAAGTAAAAATGCTTGATCCCTCAAGTATAGTTATTATACCCCAAGCGTATGAAGTAAACATGCTTGATCCCTCAAGTAAAGTTATTATACCCCCAGGGTATGAAGTAAAAATGCTTGATCACTCAAGTAAAGTTATTATACCCCCAGGGTATGAAGTGAACATGCTTGATCCCTCAAGTAAAGTTATTATACCCCCAGGTTATGAAATAAACATGCTTGATCCCTCAAGTAAAGTTATTATACCCCCACGTTATGAAGTGAACATGCTTGATCACTCAAGTAAAGTTCTTTTAGACGAAAAAACTACGCTCCCATGTTAACTATATCTGTTAAAAAATCTCAAGGGTTATCTGTTGTCTAAGCCAGGTTAAAAATTACTTGACATGAGTTGTCTTAAGCCTATTTATTTTGCGCATATTCACTCCCATCTTAATTATTGCAGTAACATCTTTTCTCTTCTTTCTAAAAAGGATCTTATTAGAGTTCAGACCCTACAAAAAATCTGTACGTCTAGTCTGCAATAAGAGTTATAATTCTCACACTGCCCCACTTTTTAAAAAAACTGCCATAGTCCCTTTCCAAGATCTAAAACAAGTAAATGCCATCTATTTTATGTAAGAATATAGGTTAAATCGTCTGCCATCATCATTTAATAATTCATGGAGTTTGAACAGGGATACAGACCCCCAATATATGCTAAGAAATGGCGAAGACTTTGCAATTCCACGATTAAAGTACCAGTATTTAAAATCACATCCTCTTTTTTATTTTCCGAATGTATAGAATAAATTTAAACCAGTGTTTAAATATAGCATTGTTAACAGCTCAACGTTTTCCAGTAATTTAAAATCTTATTTTCTACACAAACTTGATGAAAGCTATAGCATAGATTGTAACTGTTATTTATGCACTGTTTAGTTTGCTTGTACCCAGGGTCTAAGTACAATACTTTCTTATAATATATTGCTTTGTTGTCTATTCTCCAGGTTTATTTAAGCTCTCATGATCGGACCTACACAGAACCCTAACACAAAGTTTCACCTCTCCTTCATTTTTTTTACTTTTAACGTGTCATATGCGCATAAATCTAAAGTTTTCAGGGACCTGGACAAGACAGCCAGATATTGAGCTCCCCGGGTTTCCCGGCACTGTAAAAAATCATAGAATTCATCAATGTGTTTTTAACCCTTGTAAATGTATATTTATGTGCCCCAGGGTATGACTTCCATGGGCTATAAAAAGGAGTTAACTTTATTCGCGTGAGGTTCCGAGACTTAAAATTATGTATCGTAATTTCTAACAGAATATATTTCCAAAAATAAATCTATTAGTTAAAAACTACTTTAAAAAATGAAATATCAACTATAAGAATGTGTCGAATAATAGTCGATGAATATTGGTTTTAATTTCTGAATAATTTGTTTGGAATTAAATTGATTATTCATTTTACAACCCGAGTTTGTATGGACGCTACGTTCTTCGGTATAAGTCGTTTTTAACAATTTTCTTCTTATAGGTGCAACAGATAAAAGTAAGATTAGAAGCGATCAAAAGCGCTTATTTTTCGCCGTAAGCCTATACCCCCTTTCATTTTTCGCGAACACTTCCTTTCAGGCTACTTTTTAAAAACATTTACTGGTTATTTTTAGGTTTATTATTCATTGAAAAAAACCTTGATTGAAAAGAAAAGTAATTACGTATTTGTTTTAGAAAATTATCCCCCTCCTCTCTGTATAATGTTTTTAGCCATCAGCAGGAGATTTGTTCAGTATGAATGCGGGGGGAGGGGGGGGGCAAACAAACAAAATAATTTCTTATCACGAACTACAAACAAACAAACTGATTAACAAATGTAACATTAAACAAATACTTATGATCCGAATCCGCTGAATCCGTTTCTGATCCACTTGATCCGCATAATCCCCTTCAGATCAGCTTAATCTACTCCGGATCCGCCTCCACAATATGCGCGGATTACAGATACAATCCATAAACTGCAAACAATTTAAACAAACTTGCTTGCAATTTTACTTGTCAGCATTGGATTGGTCATACTTGATCATTCAAACCTTTTAAGGTACCGTTTTTAATCGGATATGCCACTTGAAATTACGCTTACAGTCCCTTTTATATCTTCCGAAACATAGAGACATTTTTCTTCAAGTGTTAATAAAATCTCAAAAGAAATTAGAGAACAAGAATTGTTAAATTTATAGTTTTAATTATTTCTACTTTTGATTAGATTGAATTAAATTGTGAATTGATGTACTTAAGAGATTTAATTTATTCGTGGAAACTCAAACAAAAGTCTATAAAAAAAATGGGGAATATTTTTTGTTCATTTTTGATTAAAAATTGCAAGTAAATGAAATACGCAATAGAAGTGTAAAAGATATCGAGAAAGTTAACGAATATAAAAATGAATTATTTGAACACAATTTGTCAATGCGCATTGTATCATCTACCCCCCACCCCAANTAAACTATCTAGGGAACTTTAAACCTACTATTTATCTACAAAATTTTATATATTTAGATTTTTGTATAAATGATAGACATTTTTTTTCACAAATACGCACTACTTAAATTTCATGTTTTTAGGATTCTTAAAATACAAAAAATCTGATAATTGTATGTTGTTATTTGACCAGTTATTGAGAAGCACACTAAATGTATGGGTTCAAACTAAGTTTGAAAAATCTTAAGCTCTAAATTTTAAAGTTTTTCCCCTGGCGAAATTCTTTTTCTTGCTCTACGAAGGTGACGTTAGAAATGGATTTTGTCGTTTAGTAAACACTCCCTTTAATGACAAATCCTTTGATCATATGTAATCAGGAGGCAGAAACGTCATGTGAGTGTGTCTGTACCAAAAAGTGTGTGTAAGGAATACCGAACCGAAGTGTAGGTATATACAGTACATAAGAATCTCGGTATTTGTACAGTCTAGGAGAGTACATTTGTTTATTGTTAATTTTTTACTTAAAAATAAGTTTAATATACAAAAATGAAAACTACATGGTTAAAATTAAAAGTACATGGTTTAAATGAAAAACATCATGGTTAAAATGAAAACTACATGGCTTAAATGAAAACTACATGGTTTAAATAAAACTACATGGTTTAAATGAAAAACTACATGGTTTAAATGAAAAACTACATGGTTTAAATACAAACTACATGGTTTAAATGAAAACTACACGGTTTAGATAAAAACTACATGATTAAAATAAAAACTACATGGTTTAAATAAAAACTACATGGTTTAAATGAAAACTACATGGTTAAAATGAAAACTACATAGTTAAAATTAAAAGTACATGGTTTAAATGAAAAACATCATGGTTAAAATGAAAACTACATGGTTTAAATGAAAACTACACGGTTTAGATAAAAACTAATGGTTTAAATGAAAAACTACATGGTTTAAATGCAAACTAAAGGTTTAAATGAAAAACAACATGATTAAATGAAACCTTCATGGTTTGAATGAAAATCTACATGGTTTAAATTAAAAACTACATGGTTTAAATGAAAACTACATGGTTTAAATGAAAAACTACATGGTAAAAATGAAAACTACATGGTTAAAATGAAAAATTACATGGTTTAAATGAAACCTTCATAATTTAAATAAAAAAAACAACATGGTTTAAATTGGACTTTCAAGTATCTGTCATGTCAGCTGACAGATACTTTTTCAGGATTTCCTGGGTCAAAGATTTTGATTTTTTACATTTTGAACTTGACCCCCCTCTTCAGAGGAGAATTAATTTCCTCCATGTGCACAACAGCACAAGCTCCATAATTTGGACAGACGTTAATTCTCACTTTGAATAAAATTTTAAATTATGAAAATCATCTCAGAACTGTTTTGAAGACTCTTTGGAGGATAAAAAACCTCTCGTGTTTGAAACCGAAGCATAAAGTTGTGCGTAGTTTGGTTTAGTGAAGAGGATAAAACTAATAATAAAATAATAATATAAACGGATGAATGTTAATTAGAATAAACTAAGCTACTTTTATAAAGAAGATTTTCATTGAAAGGATGTTCATCTTACATGGGACAACGGTGAATGCGATATATACGACGTACTCTGAGCTCCTGTCGTCTAGAATTTTTATGCAAGAAAGTCTCAGTAAAAAGTTTCTGAAAAAACCATCTCCATCCATCTCTTCCATCACCTACCATCTCCTTCCATACTCCTTCCATCTCCTTCCATCTTCTTCCATCTCCTTCTCTCTCTTTCCATCTCCTTCTATCTCCTTTTATCTCCTTCCATATCCTTCCATTTCCTTCCATCTCCTTCCATCTCCTTCCAGCTCCTTCCATCTCCTTCCATCTCCTTCCATCTTCTTCCATCTCCTTCCATCTCCTTCCGTCTCCTTTCCATCTCCTTTCATCCCCTTCAATCTCCTTCCATCTCCTTCCATCTCCTTCCATCTCCTTTTATCTCCTTTTATCTCCTTCCATCTCCTTCCATCTACTTCCATCTCCTTCCATCTTCTTCCATATTTTAGGATCTTCTCCTTCTCCCTGTTTTATTTCTCCGTTGCCGATGAATCCTCCTCCGGTATTATCTATATGCTCGGGGGTAAATCTCCTTGTATTCTCTAGTATACCTGGAGCAGAGAGAAGATTAGTAAACATTGAACCAGGAAGCTAAATACAACTCTAGACTAGGAATAAACATATTTCATCTTGATGAATGAATTAACATCCACCATTTAGTATCAATTAGAAGGTTGTACGATCCTAAGTAATGATTTTTCTCTTTGAAATGTGGCATCAAGTATTATCCAAAGATTCTCTAAACTAAAGCAAAGAATATTTCTTGAACCCTCAGTTTCCTAGATATTCCTTAAACCCTGAGTTTCTAGATATTCCTTGAACCCTGAGTTTGCTAGATATTCCTTGAACCCTGAGTTTCCTAGATATTTCTTGAACCCCGAGATCTCTAGATATTTCTTTAACCGTGAGTTTCCTAGATATTTCTTAAACCCTGAATTTCCTAGATATTCCTTGAACCCTGAGTTTGCTAGATATTCCTTGAACCCTGAGTTTCCTAGATATTCCTTGAACCCTGAGTTTCCTAGATATTCCTGAAACCCTGAGTTTCCTAGATAATTCTTAAACCCTGAATTTCCTAGATATTCCTTGAACCCTGAGTTTGCTAGATATTTCTTGAACCCCGAATTTCCTATATATTTCTTGAACCCTGTGTTTTCTAGATATTCCTGGAATCCTGAGTTTCCTAGATATTCCTTGAACCCTGAGTTTCCTAGATATTCCTTGAACCCTAAATTTCATAGAAATTCCTTGAACCCCGAGTTTCCTAGATATTCCATGAACCCTGAGTTTCCTAGATATTCCTTGAACCCCGAGTTTCCTATATATTTCATGAACTCTGTGTTATCTAGATATTTCTTGAACCCTGAGTTTCTTTGATATTCCTTGAACCCTGAGTTTCCTAGATATTTCTTGAACCCTGAGTTTCTTAGAAAATCCTTGAACCCTGAGTTTCCTAGATATTCCTTGAACCCTGAGTTTCCCAGGCATTCCTTGAACCCAGAGTTTCCTATATTTCTTGAACCCTGAGTTTCCTTGATATTTCTTGAACCCTGAGTTTCCTATATATTCCTTCAACCCTGAGTTTCCTATATATTCCTTGATTCATGAGTTTCCTAGATATTCCTAAAAACCTGAGTTTTCAAGATATTTCTTGAACCCTAAATTTTCTAAATTTTCTAAATTTCTTAAACTCTGAGTTTCCTAGATATTTCTTAAACCCTGAGTTTTCTTGATATTTCTTGAACCCTAAATTTCCTAGATATTCCTTGAACTCTGAGTTTCCTTGATATTCCTTGAACCCTGAGTATCCTAAATATTCCTTGAACGCAGAGCTTCCTATATATTCCTTGAACCCTGAGTTTCCTAGATATTCATAGAACTCGGAGTTTCCTAGATAATCCTTGAACCCTGTATAGCCCAGATGTTCCTTGAACCCTGAGTTTCCTAGATATTTCTTGAACCCAGAGCTTCCTATATATTTCTTGAACCCTGAGATTCCTTGATATTTCTTGAACCCTGAGTTTCCTATTTATTCCTTCAACCCTGAGTTTCCTATATATTCCTTGAAATCCCGAGTTTCCTAGATATTCCTAAAACCCTGAGTTTCCTAGATATTTGTTGAACCCTGAGTTTCATATATATTCCTTGAACCCTGAGTTTCCTAGATATTCTTTGAACCCCGAGTTTCCTAAATATTCCTTGAATCCTGATTTTCCCAGGTATTCCTTGAACCCTGAGTTTCCTAGATATTCCTTGAATTCTGGTTTTTCTTGATATTCCTTGAACCATGAGTTTCCTAGATATTCCTTGAACCCTAAGTTTCCTAGATATTCCTGGAACCCTGAGTTTCCTATATATTCCTTGAACCCTGAGTTTCCTAGATATTCCTTGAACTCGGAGTTTCCTGGATATTCCTTGAACCCTGTTTAGCCTAGATATTCCTTGAACCCTGAGTTTGCTAGATATTCCTTGAATCCTGATTTATTCCTTGAACCCTGAGTTTCCTAGATATTCCTTGAATTTTGGTTTTTCTTGATATTCCTTGAACCATGAGTTTCCTAGATATTCCTCGAACCCTGAGTTTCCTAGATAATCCTTGAACCCTGAGTTTCCTATATATTCCTTGAACCAGGAGTTTCCTGGATAGTCCTTGAACCCTGATTAGCCTAGATTTTCCTCGAACCCTGAGCTTCCTACATATTTCTTAAAACCTGAGTTTCCTAGATATTACTTAAACCCAGATTGTCCTAGATATTCCTTGAACTCTGAGTTTCCTAGATAGTCCTTGAACCTTGAGTTTCCTACATATTTCTTGAACCCTGAGTTTCCCAGGCATTCCTTGAACCCAGAGTTTCCTAGATATTCCTTGAACCGTGAGCTTTCTAGATATTCCTTGTACTCTTAGTTTCCTAGATATTCCTTGAACCCAGAGTTTCCTATATATTCCTGGAACCCTGAGTTTCCTAAATATTCCTTGAACCTTTAGTTTTCTAGATATTCCTTGAACCCTTAGTTTCCTATATATTCCTTGAACCCAGAGTTTCCTAGATATTTTTTGAACCTTGAGTTTTCTAGATATTCCTTGAACTCTTAGTTTCCTATAAATTCCTTGAATCCTGAGCTTCCTAGATTTTCTTTAAATCCAGAATTTCCTAAATATTCCTTGAACCCTGAGTTTGCTAGATATTCCTTGAGCCCTGAGTTTCCTAGATATTCTTTAAACCCAGAGTTTCCTAGATATTCCTTGAACCCTGAGTTTCCTAGATATTCCTTGAACCCTGAGTTTGCTAGATATTCCTTGAATTCTGATTTTTCTTGATATTCCTTGAACCCTGAGTTTGCTAGATATTCCTTGAATTCTGATTTTTCTTGATATTCCTTGAACCCTGAGTTTGATAGATAGTCCTTAAACCCTGAGTTTCCTAGATAGTCTTTAAACCCAGAGTTTCCTATAGCTATTCCTTAAACCCAGATATTTCTAGATATTATTGAACCTTGATCTTACCAGATATTTTTTTGGGGGACTGTAAGTTTAGTTTCAAGTGACCCTCCAATTTCAGTGGCATGTCCGATTCACAGCAACACCCTATAAAATTGCAAACTTATCTAAATAACAATATAAAAGATATCTTTGTTTTACTATCTCGATCAGTTTGAAATTTAAATTATTTGTTTAGTCTCAGAACAATAATTTTGCAACTTGCATTTACGTACAAACCAGAATTGAAAATAATTAATTCTATACTAAGTTAACTACCACCCGTTTTTTTTTGTAATTTTATTTCAGTATCTTGAGTGAAAAAAAAATTATGCTAGGTTATCAGTAGGGCTGGGCACGCTTAAACTTATTCATCAATGGTTAGTTAAAATAATGGAACGGACCAACGTTTTTGTTTGTTCTTAAAGTTACTGATCGTAAAATATATTTTATTACATTAATGGCGTTAATGATTATTTTGAATGGATTAATTAAGAAATATTGAATAAGGGGGTGAGGCAGTATATAACTACAAACCTGGCACAACGTACAATACTAAAAGTAAAAAGCTGTTAAATTAAGAAAAAATATTTAAATATTCCATAAAGCCAAGACAATGGTCAATGAAAATCTAAAAAAGAAAAAAAAAACTGTTGCTAAAGCAGCAAATTTTGCTGATAAATTTTCAATCAATTATTTTTCCTAATTTTTTTTTCTCACAATAAATAGATACTTTAGGTTAAGACGCAGTTAAAGAGGCATCATTTGTTTGTTGTTAGGTAACGGAAATAGAAAAAATGCCCTTTATTATCTATTTAGATTATGATAGGGGCAAACGTCCTAAATAAAAATAAATGAAAAATTATTATCTGATAATCGACAACGGAGACATCCTTATTTTACAAGCTGAATATTTAACGGAAAATCATAGTGCACACCACAAATGGATAACAAAAATGAATTTGATAAAGCACTGACTTTTAAGCTTGAAAAATATGGACATATCCGTCTTCAATGATCAGACGTAGGCTTAAAGAGTAACGTTGTAAATCGGTCATGACTTTATAAAAAACGAATCACTGGAATCACGTTCGCATTCCCCTTAAGAATGTCAATTTATTTTTAAAAACGGTAGTTTCCAGCATTGCATTTATAAATGTGTTTACTCCAGAATGGTTCTACAGACTTCAAAGTACATCTTGTTATTTAGTCTCGCCTCTTTCTCTCAAGCAAAGACAGTACAATTGACTAATTTGGCGCCAAAACCTGGAGTTTACCTGCCAAACCTAGCGCGGTCGCTGGAGTATACAAATTTCGGTCACGATGAGGGAACTCCCCCCAGAAGCAGCAGACAGAAGCGGTTCACATCATTCAGATACAGACCAGAATGTAAGAATATCAGTAAAATAAATGGATTTTTTCGTTTATTTAATAAACTCAAATTACAGGGTTAACCACAAAGGATGAAACTTCAGAGACGATCATATTTGTAATTCATACTGTCTGTTTCCTTAAAGGGACTGTAAAGGAAAATTGAAAGGGGGTATAGGCTGAAACCTAAGAATTTTAGGAGTTGATTGAGACCTATAAGAGTCTATCTGATGTTCCTGTCTGGAGAAATTATATAAAACTGTGTCAAATTATACAAAACTCTATCATATTCAGCATGTTATTTATACGTCCGTATCACATGACCAGAACTCCCAACAATGGCAGTGCAGTATACTGGTCACATGATACAGATAGTCATGTGATAAAAATACTGCACTGCCATTGGTGGGAGTTCTGGTCACATATGATACAGACATATTTATTATATTGTCAATTATATCTATTAAAAATGAAAAATTATTAAATTCAAATAATAATAGGAGCAAACCTAAGTTACTTAGGCTCCTCTGGGATATCGTCGTTTTCAGGTTGGTTGCGTATTTGCTGAATATAATCTATTTAAACCTACTATTTATCTACAAAATTTTATATATTTAGATTTTTGTATAAATTTGACACAGTTTTATATAATTTCTCAAGACAGGAACCCCCCCTTTCATTTTTTCTTCGTTTTTAAAGTATCATCCTTTGCTTGTAACCTCTCACCATTTTTCTTTGTTCAATATGGGGTTCAGGGGTCAAGGGGCTGGGGAAATCATAAGAACCACAAGGGGTACCAGGGATACCAGAGAACAAACGGGGAATCTCTTCGGTATCTTGGGATCAATCATTGATCTCTATCTTATGCAGACAAACAAATTGATTTAAACCCCGTGGTAGTCTTTGAACATTTTCTAAAATATAAATTTTTTAGTGCTAGAAAACCTTGCCATGATCAGCAATGGGCACAATATGTTGGACAGAATCAGGGTAATTATCATAATAATTGTTCTTAAAATAAATATGTATGTTTAAACTCTGCATAATTGCTGTGTCTCATGTTTATAAGACTATTTAAAGTCATAGCTTGAGCCTAAAGTCGTCTTCCTATTCCACAGTTTTCTGGTTATCACTGTATCGGAAGAATAAATAAGTTTTAATATTTAAAAAATAGATTTTCTTATGGGCATAAAATAAAAATAGAGGAGCTACAAGGTCACAAAGCTGTACAAGTAATTTGGCTTACGTTTTTCTTTTCATAATATTACTATAAGTATTTAAGCGAAACTTTTATAAGAAATGAAAATGGGTTAAGAATTCAAAAAATCAAAGACTAATATTAAAATTAATAAATAAACATTTAAAAATATTCTTGTTGATAAACTTAATTTTTCTCTCAGGGAATCGTTGGGGACAAAGCTGTTGATCAGGAGAGAGATCAGGTTTAGAAATTAGATAATAATAATAAATATGTTTTATACTAGCTGGAGTGCCCCGAGTTGCCCGTGGAATAAAAAAACTGATTTTGAAAAAAAGAATATTTAATTTTTTTTGCTTTTGCCACCTCTTGGACACCCATGGTTTCCTTCAAAAAATTTCAGCCCATTCGGTCCAGAAGTTTGGCCGGCTATAGTTGACATGTATATATGAAGAGCGAAGAGCTTTATTAAATAGATTTAAGAATGAATAATTCAGATTTCCCCTCCCGTATCTGTATCTGTCTTACAATATACAACTCAATCTTGAACTCAAGGTTCATCACAAATACCATAGTCAATATCAATTCGGATACAACTCAGTCTGTATTCTCAGGTATCTGTCTTACTCAATGTAATTCCTAATCTAAAGCTATCTTTCAAGAAATTGATTCAGGACCCTTCTTGTCGCTAACCAAGAAACAATTACATCACACCGTAATCAAAGTGGAGTATTATTCCAACTGACATTTAGTTTGAGTTCTATGATACAGGTTAAGTTAATGAACGTAATTATAAGTTTGACGTCGTTATCTACAATAGTAATTAGATTAATCGCAATACAAGTTTTGCGTGGTTATTTACAAGCGCATTTACATCTACAGACAATGTACATTGTACAACGTAATTTATCTAGGTGTGTTCAGGTTTATAAATATGGAATTTGCTATAGTATTTATTACATAACTGTCTCCGTATTTTATCTGTATCTGTATGCCAAATCTGTTTTTGTATTTTTGTCTCTCTCTCTCTCTCTCTCTCTCTCTCTCTCTCTCTCTCTCTCTATGAAAACAGGTTAACATCTTAAAATCTTAAGAGACTCTTACAAAATATATAAACTTGGATGTTTAAAAAATGGACTTCACAATTTTCCCCATCAGCTGTATTTGTATTTAATTTGTGTCTTTATTTTTTTCTTATACCTATATTAACTATCTATGGAACTGTATACCTATAAAAATTCTATCCAGGGAACTGTATTGAGGTTATGGTTTATGAACCTATAAAAACTATCCAGGAAACTGAGTTGAAGTTTATGAACCTATATATACAATCTAGTATCTAGGGAACTGTGTTGAGGTTTATGAGCCTATATAAACAATCCAGGGAACTGTTTTGAGGTTTATGAGCCTATATAAACTAGCTAGGGAACTGTATTCACATTTATGAAACTTATATAAACTATCTTTGGAACTGTTTTGAGGTTAATGGACCTTTATAAACTATCTAGGGAACTGTATTAAGGTTTATGAACCTACATAAACTATCCATGGAACTGTATTGAGGTTTGTGAACCTGTATAAACTATCTAGGGAACTGTATTAAAGTTTATGAACCTACATAAACCATCCAGGGAACTTTATTGGGGTTTGTGAACCTGTATAAACTATCTAGGGAACTGTATTAAGGTTTATGAACCTACATAAACTATCCAGGGAACTGTATTGAGGTTTCTGGTTTATGAACCTATATATACTTTCTAGGGAATTATATTGAAGTTTATGAAACTATACCAACTATCCAGGAATGGTTTATGAACCTATAGAAACTTTCCAGGGAACTATATTCAGGTTTATGATTCTGTATAAACTATCCATGGAACTGTTTTGAGGTTTATGCACCACATAAACTTTCCAGGAAATTGTATTAAGGTTTGTGAACCTATATAAACTATCTCGGGAACTGTGTTGAGGTTTATGAACCTATATAAACTATCTCGGGAACTGTGTTGAGGTTTATGAACCTATATAAACTATCTAGGGAACTGTATTTACGTTTATGAACCTATATAAACTATCTAGGGAACTGTGTTGAGGTTTATGAACCTATATAAACTATCTAGGGAACTGTGTTGAGGTTTATGAACCTATAAAAACTATCTAGGGAACTCTATTGAGGTTTATTACCTTAAAAACACTATCTCGGGAACTGTATTGAGGTTTATGAACCTATATTAACTATCCAGGGAACTGTATTGAGGTTTATGAACCTATATTAACTATCCTGGGAACTGTATTGAGGTTTCTGAACCTATATAAACTATCTAGGGAACTGTATTGAGGTTTATGAACCTATATAAACTATCTAGGGAACTGTGCTGAGGTTTATGAACCTATATAAACTATCTAGGGAACTGTATTTACGTTTATGAACCTAAACTATCTAGGGAACTGTGTTGAGGTTTATGAACCTATATAAACTATCTAGGGAACTGTATTGAGGTTGATGAACCTATATAAACTATCTAGGGAACTGTGCTGAGGTTTATGAACCTATATAAACTATCTAGGGAACTGTATTGAGGTTTATGAAACTTTATCAACTTTCCAGGGAACTGTATTAAGGTTTACGAACCTATATAAACTATAAAGGGAACTGTATTGAGGTTTCTGAACCTATATAAACTATCTAGGGAACTGTGTTGAGGTTTATGAACCTATATAAACTATAAAGGGAACTGTGTTGAGGTTTATGAACCTATATATACTATCTAGGAATTTTATTGAAGTTTATGAACCTATTTAAACTATAAAGGGAACTGTGTTGAGGTTTATGAACTTTCTAAAGAACTGTATTCACGTTTATAAACCTATATAAACTATCTTTGGAATTTTATCTAAGTCTATACACCTCTATAATATACCTAGGGAACTGTATTCAGGTTTATGAACCTACAAAAACTATCTAGGGAACTGTATTGAGAGAGAAAATGAAAGATCTGATTAAGCTGAAGAGAGAACAGGCCCTGAGAGAAAATGATGATGTTCATAGCGCAGATTCCCAGGTCATTCAATTTTCATTAAATGCAATTGTAGACGTAATTTCAAGTAACCCTTCATAACTAAACTGTTTTTTTTTCAATTACCTTGAAACCACAAACTAATCATCGTCGTTTAAAACATCCTTTTTCCAACTGAGAATTGAATACACTATACAACCCTCAGTGCGAATGACGTTACATGGTTCACAAAAAAAAATCAACATCTTGTTAGAAAAAACAAAGATTTCTTAGTCATTCCTGGTATCTGGATCAAACAATAGGTTTAAAAGGTACTAATGTAAATCGGACAGAGCTAAGGAAGGCCATCGTTAAAACCCTAAAAGGATTTGATGAATTTAACACAAAGTAAAGTTCAAACATCTTTAAGTTTTCTTTTATTACGTTTAGCAAAAATGGTTTCTGACCCTAGATATTAACCAAAACGATCTTTAAAATTGTTCAAAACGATTTTTGAAAAATATTTGAAACATATTTGTGGTTTATATTTAAAAAAGGTAAATTATTGCATATTGTGATAAAAGCAAAATTATCGGGTATACAATTTTGAAAACAGGTTAACATCTTAAAATCTTAAGAGACTCTTACAAAATATATAAACTTGGATGTTTAAAAAATGGACTTCACAATTTTCCCCATCAGATACAGTACAGTACAGTACAGTACAGTACAGTACAGTACAGTACAGTACAGTACAGTACAGTACAGTACAGTACAGTACAGTACAGTACAGTACAGTACAAATTCAACTGCTTTATGGTACTCACTTTTGTTGTTAACTTGTATGTATTAGCTTAATTATAAACTATAATTGGGAAACAATTAAATATTAAGCGAACTATACCTTTCTCTGTATTATATAGTTTTTACGTGAATAAGATGAAATTTCTAATATAGTGTTTGTGTTCATGTTAACTTAAAGAACGGTCCAGAGGTTAAATTATAATATTAACTTAAGGAATTTGTGGAAAAGATTATAGACATTAATTACCAAAAAAGGCAAAAAAAACTCAGAACGAGATGATTAAAATTTAGCAGTTTTTGAAAGGTTTGTGTTTTTACAATGAAGTTGCATTCTAGTGCTACTTGTGAGGTTATAAGTAAATGATAGGATTTTGTAGATGCCGCAAACGTTTTTTATCTCACCAATTGATATAAAAGACGACCCTTGATTTTTGTTGCTGAAAAAAGCATTTTTTAGAATTTTCAGAACTTAGTGATACGTTTTTGAAAACTTTGCATGTTTCTTAATGTTCCAAGATAAGTTTTTTTTGACAAGCATGATGATCCTTCCTTGCACATTTGTTTTAAAAACGGCATGACAAATAACAATGAATGAATTGCGAACTGTTTAGGTCTGGATTTACAAGGGACGGAAACCTAAACATAGATTTCCACCATGTTTGATTTGCTTTAGGGTGGGTACTTTATCTCAAGTAATAATCATGTCATGTCAAAGAAAATTTGAAGCTACGAAAAGAAAAGTTTGAAAATTATTGACTGGGATAGAAATAGAAGGTGCTTGAAAATGCACCCGTAGTATTTTAAGGAGATGAGTTTTAAATAATGAATAAGTAAAAAGTAGTACGTTCAATAACATTATATACAGGTTAAAGTTTAAATAAAACTAGTGAATTAGTTTCAACAATAAATAGTGGATTGGTTTTTAAAATAATCAGTTAAGATTAGTTTCAAGAATAAATAATGAATTCTTTTCAAGAATAAAGAATGGGTTCTTTTCAAGAATAAATAGTAGATTCATTTCAAGTTCTAAATAATCGATTCGTTATAAGAATAAATTGTGGATTAAGTTCAAGAATAAATAGTGTATAACATTCAAGAATAAATAATGGAATGAATTTGTTTAAATAAAAATAAATAGTAAATTCGCTTTAAGAATAAATAGGAATTCGTTCAAAGAACAAATAATCGATTCGTTATAACAATGAATAATGGATTCGTTATAACAATGAATAATGGATTCCTTATAACAATGAATAATGGATTCGTTATAACAATGAATAATGGATTCGTTATAACAATGAATAATGGATTCGTGTTAAAAATAAAATTATATTAATAAAGGATCTTAAGAATACATCCGTTAAAAAAAAGTAAATGAATTATTTCAAGATTAACTTGTAAATTCGAGTTAAGAATAAAAATTGTGTGTTTTTTTTCATGAATAATTAATGGATTGGTTTCAAGAAAAATCAGTAAAATGGATCAGCGGATTTTCCGTCACACACGAGGGCTGTAAATCTACCCACCCTGAAATATAAAAAAATAATGAACTCATATTTTGGTGCAGGATGAGGCAGAGGCGTATGTGGCAAATCTTCTAAGGATGAGGGGCGTGAATCTATCTGGTGCGAGCCGAGACATCCTAAGGGCCCCTGAACAGTCCGGCAGAAATCTTCTGAGGACCCCTGACATGTCGTATTTGAGCTTGAAAGCGGATTCTATTCCGAGGAAGATGAATGAGGGGTCCCTGACTCCACGACTGAGAACTAATGAGGAAATGCTCCAATCCCTGAGATACCATCATGCTAAGGTATTTTTCAATCAATCACAGCATATATATTCATTTTATACAGTTTATCCAATTGTGCTATACGGATTAGTAGGTAAACAATGCTAATATCACAATTGGAGACTCATTGAACCAGTGAGTAGTAGTTGAACCGCGTAGATGTAGTTGAACCATTTCTTTTATGCGCCGATTGAAGTTGGGAAGAAAAGGTCAAAACTCGTCTAGGTGGATTAACTAATTCCAAGTATTTATTAAATATGGCCCCCTAACACAAGTAAGTGCTAATACACGATCTTCTCTAATAATGATCGATTGCTCGAACTGGCAAACGATCTTCTTGAGAAATAAACGTGTTTATTGCTAGAAAACCATCAAAGAATGAGAAAATTTACTTACCCTGATGTGTTAAATTGCTTAGGAGATAAACCTCTTAAATAAACTGTTTAATTAGAGAGAAACCATACTTTTAAATGGTAACAATTGAACGATTACAAAAAATTAAAAATGATACAAATAAAGATTTATTCGCTGAATTGGTTATTTTTACTTTTATTTTTAAAAATGTTTGATTTTAACAGGCTTCTAAGTTCTAACTGAATGCTTGAATTGGATTGCGGAAATATGAGAAACATTTTCACGAGAACTTAAATTCTTGAAAAAGGGATTGAAATATTATCTTTATCTCCTTTGTTTTGTGTATATACAGGGTGTCCCACGAAACATGATAGTTTTGAGACGACTTGAAGATCGTCTTAATCCTTCAAATTATTTGCAGAAGTCCAGTTTAAAAAAACTTTGTCTGATCAAGAATTCAATGTTTGAAAACTAATTTTTTTCAATTATAGTTTCTCTTCAAAAATGACTTGATACGCATTTCTATTGCAAGAAAACATGTAGGAAATTTCATAATTAAACATCTTTAAACCTATAAAAGTGACAACATCTTTTACATAATTTATCAGGTAAAAAGTACCGTTGTTAATCGAGCATTGCCAACTTTGAATGAATGGTAACTTGCAATTTTGTGAATATTATTTTAAAGATAACAAATTTTAAAGAAGGGTTTACAAATTGATGCCGCAAATTATTTCAAAGATAAAAAAGACATCAAGTCGTCTTTTAACTGCCATGTTTCGTAAGACACCTTTTATATGTTTATAAATGTATTAGTCCTCAAATATGGTCCACTGCTAGAAGTAACTTTAAACCCAAGAATATGCATCTTGGATTTTGGCAGGATCTAGTGCTTCCGAAACCGAGTTTTCTGAACCGAGTTTCCGAAACCGAGTTTTCTAAACCGAGTTTCCGAAACCGAGTTTCCAAAAACCAAGTTTCCAAAACCTAGTCTCTAAAACTTTAAATCTGAAACCTATATTTCGGGACCTAGTTTTTTAAAAAACCTTGTTTCCAAAACCTACTTTCCGAAGCCTACTTTTTTCGCAAAATTATGCGTGTGTTTTTTCTGGTATATATTATTAAAAACATTTTTCGGTAACTTATTAGGACAGCGCGGAAAGTACTTTCATTCAAAAAAAAAATAACGAAGATTCCTAAAGACAAAGGGCAATCACTGTAGTGTTTTTTTTTTAAATATAAAACCTGTTTTTGTAAACCATTCCTGTTTTAAGATTATAAATCTAACAATGCAGACATTATATATAATATTTAAGTTATTGTGTAGAGATATAAAATGAATACAACACATATCCTTTATTTCCACTTTTACACTTTTTAAATTACTCTTAAAGTAAATTTTTAGGGGCCCTGCATTCAAAGATTGGCAATGGTACCCTTACAAGCATCGTCAAATATATATATGTCAATATTTATGATTTTGTGAACTGGTTAAAGGGACAGACCGGCTATGTAAGGTAGTTAAGCTGAGTATGCAGTGTATGCAGTATGCAGTTTTTCAGGATTCATTTGAGACATATAAAACGTTTTACTTTCCACGATGTATAATTATTGAGTTTGAGTGCATAGTCGACGTTCAAAATCATGAATTTGGAAGGTTTACGTTTTCAACGTCGAAAAATAAAGTAAAAATTATACAGTAAACTAATTAGATGTTTAAAAGCATATTTCTCAAAAGAAGTTTGTCAATAAATCAATGTTAGAAACAATTATTTCGTTTTCATCATTATATTGAATTTCTTATTTTCAATGAATTTATTCGCAGATTTCTTTAAATTCTTCAAATGTCGTCTTTTCAATAGAAATTTCAGAATATCTGCAGAAAATCTTTGTGAATAATCAGAGATTCTAGAAACTAATAATTGAATAAGATCACTTATTTCCGAATATAAGATTAAATTTTATTTTTTCAACCTGTTCCTAAACAACTAATTAGTTTACTGCAGAATTTTGTTTACATTTTTTGTCGTCGTTATTTAATAATTAAAAAAACAATTCTGAAAGCGTATCCGCCTCAAAGTACGAGTTTTGAACGTCGACTTTGCGCTCAAACACAGGATTTACAAATCTTAAAAAAGTTTAATATGTCTCAAATGAATCCTAAAGATTTGTCCACAACATTGCAAACTCAGTTCAACTACCTTACATTATACAGTTCAACTACCTTACATTATAGACGACGAACTCAGTTCAACTACCTTGCTTTATAGCCGAACTCAGTTCAACTACCTTACATTATAGACGAACTCAGTTCAACTACCTTACTTTATAGCCGAACTCAGTTCAACTACCTTACATTATAGACGAACTCAGTTCAACTACCTTACATTATAGACGAACTCAGTTCAACTACCTTACATTATAGCCGAACTCAGTTCAACTACCTTACATTATAGACGAACTCAGTTCAACTACCTTACATTATACAGTTCAACTACCTTACATTATAGACGAACTCAGTTCAACTACCTTACATTATAGACGAACTCAGTTCAACTACCTTACATTATAGACGAACTCAGTTCAACTACCTTACATTATAGACGAACTCAGTTCAACTACCTTACATTATAGCCAGTTCAACTACCTTACATTATAGCCGAACTCAGTTCAACTACCTTACATTATAGCCGAACTCAGTTCAACTACCTTACATTATAGCCGAACTGTCCCTTTAGTTTCAATTTTGGTTTCTTTACAAAAGTGACTTACGCATTTCTAGCGCAGTAAAACATAACATAATTACACACTAAAAGCTAGAAAAACGACAATATCATCAACAATTTCAGATAAAGGTTTGAAGGGCTGCGTTGTGAATCGGACATTGTCATCTTTTCATGGAGGGTCTTTTTAATTTACACTAACAGTTTATTTTATATACAAAAATTATACTTTTAGGATAAGTTTGATGGAGTATCTGAATACCAACCTATTGGTATTTAAACTTGAATCTGACAGATATATGTAAACCTGGCATCAAACTAATATTGTCATATCATCAAAGAATTAAACCATTGATTGACGTATATATATAAATATGTAAATTGATCATCAGAACGCTTCATTCATTGTTAATCGTTAATAAATGTAATTAACCTAAATTTAAAGAAAATATATATAAAATTGTTTTTACCAATTGAAACATCTACTGAAAGTTTTTTTAATGTTAGTTCTAGTCACAATAATCTTAAAGGGACTGTAGAGGAAAAATGAAAAGGGGTATAGACTGAAACCTGAGAATCTCAGGAGTGGATTGAGACATATAAGAGTTCTATCTGATGTTCCTGTCTCGATAAATTGATATAAAACTCTGTCAAAATTATACCAAAACGTATATATGCAAGATTTTTGTTAGATTTAATTCGACACTTATAGGTTGTAAGATCAGAAGGTTTAAATTTAATTGAATCATTTACGATCTAAAAGGAAAAATGCAACTTTGTGAATTTGAATGGAGTGATGAGAAATGTTAACAAAAGAACAATAATAACAATAATTCCACTGTTTTTTGGTTATCACTGTAAACAATACATACATTTGTTTTACATTATTATATTGGTGATAACCAAGTCTTGGTGTAATGTGTATTGTACTCTGGGGTGTCCTATAGATCCACTTTACAATCGATTGTAAAGAGCCAAAAATATCTTATTATGATAAATGAATATCCAAATTTTATGTGTGTGTTTCTTTATCAAAAAAAAGCCATTTTTTAGCTGGTTTTTTTTCTAATTATTTGATTAGTTTTAAATGATTTGAATTTCTCTTTAAACATGATCATTTGAAATTAAAATTAGAAAAGAAGAAAAAGGACGAAAATTGCAAGATAGGCATTCACACAAACATTTATATTTTCTTACTTTTAAAGGAGAAAGCATAAGAAAATGATCAAATTATAAAAAAAAGATTATTATCTTTAATCCAAGAAACTTTATGGATGATTGATAATGTGACATTAATTGTTTATTCTGCAGGATTCGATTGGTTTGATATTAAATACATTTTACAGCCTTTTTACGAAAAAATGTATGAATATAAGAAATTGTCTCTTTGATGTTTTAGACTTGCGTACAAACAATTTGCAGGGTCCGTGGTGGAATGTTTATATTGAGTTCTCTGTACAGAAACATCGAATAGAATCTACAATAACACTGATTTATAATATGATGGTTCATTGGACACCTCGTTTTCACGAACATTCTCTTTAAACAGAGAAATCAATAGTATTGTACGATTTATTCATACACGAAGATATACACATACACGGTATTACACCATGAGGAGCCTTAGTGCATTTGAATTTCCGAGCCGGGTCAACCTTTCCGGTCCCAGTTTGTACTGTACCTAGCTCTAAGGACAGGACTTGCCGGTGCAATAAGGTTGACGCGGTCACACTTTATGCTTCATATAGGTTAAATTTACTTTTACTAAAGGGGCAGATTTGCGTGACACTGAATACATATATTAACTATGATTTTAAGGCGCCTCGTGCCCCATCTACTATTTCAATTGTGAACATTTTCTCTTTGAATACATCGAATTTTGTTGGAGGAAAATCTTAGAAATTTTGATTATCAATATATCTTCCCTGGGACGTCATGTGCAGGTCCCACACAAAATTTGGACTCAACGATTCAGCCGTTTTGATGTTTATTGGATAAAAACGGACAAACAAACAAAAAGACACTCAAAGCAAAGTATATATTTAGATGGCGTAGTTCAACTTATGGTAATGTCAATTGACCTTTTCCTCCTCCTTGTTACTTTACAGTGTTTTTAGCTAGCGTTTCAATCAGATCAGACATATTATAGCATTATTAAGAAAACAAATATTTCAATAGGAAACAAAGAAGAGATTCTTTGCCACAAACTCAAGTTTTCTGATTCCTATATATTTGCAACCATGACGGTTTAAACTTTTGATATTTCAAACTTAGATTATTTGATCTAACAGAATTCATAGATTAAAATATCAAAGATTTATAGCATCGGGTATCAAACCTATGTTAGTTGCTTCTAGATAACCGGTGTGTTTAGGCAGCAGTAATAGGCTGGTCAGAGTATACACTATATATGTTTCTATCTATCTATATATATATGTTTTATTATTGGCCCATTGTACCTAAACTATTGCAGTTGGAAAAGTGAAATACACGAGTACAATGTAGTTAGTGACCTGGGGTTCGTGAACCCATAAAATATTCTGTCTTTTTAATAGAAAACAAACATTATGTTCAGTCACTATATTACAGTCGTAAACTAATATGACATTAAATGTGAGAATATATGTGAATTAAGTAAACAAGATTGGGTTGGATTAACAAGTATTGAGGGTACCTAAAAAAGATGAGATTTTAATGACAATGAATCGATTTGAAGGGTGTTCATAAAAAGATTTTGAATGATTTAAGCAAAGAAAAGAAACAGGTTTACCGTCGCACGGAACCATAAACATGAGAAAAAAGACTGGGTAACTTTCGGACAGTCGTCTTTGAACTCTCGATCAATCTCATGCACCCTTCGTTGATAGCCCTGTTACCTGTGGGTAGCCCTGTTACCCCTGTATAATGTGGGTAGCCCTGTTCCCCCTGTATAATGTGGGTAGCCCTGTTACCCCTGTATAATGTGGTTAGCCCTGTTACCCCTGTGTAATGTGGGTAGCCCTGTTACCCCTGTTACCTGTGGGTAACCCTGTTACCCCTGTAAAAGGTGTGTAGCCCTGTTACCCCTGTATAATGTCGGTAATGTTAGAAATGGAAATAAACGATTTCAGAAACCGACCTTTTTCAAACTTAGATAAAATTCTATTCTCATTTGCAGTAACTTAGAGGCTTTTATCTTAGTATAAAAAATAGTTAGTCTTGGTGAGGATAAGTAACAATATAAAAAATCCGGTTTTTTATTCAAATTAAACGTTCGTTTTTAACCTTTACGTTTGTTTCTAATAATTTACAGTCCTTTCCATTTGTGAAAGAATTTAAAATAACGATTCTTTCCAAACGTTAACGGACTTTTTCGTTGACTTTCTTAAAGAAATTTAGTCGTTTGCCTCGAATTCAATATTCAATATATTATTTTATCTAACTTAATTCATAGTTTGAAATATCTAAGGTCTAAGATATTGGGTTGCAAAGGTTGCAAAGATATAAGGATTATAAAATCAATGTTTTTGGGATTACTGATACTTTGCCCAACCCTTTATAATAAGCGAATCATCTCCAAGTTGAAACAAATGTAAAATCTAATACAGAGTGAGCCACAAAACTACAGAGTGAGCCACAAAACTACAGAGTGAGCCACAAAACTACAGAGTGACCCACAAAACAGAGTGAGCCACAAAACTACAGAGTGAGCCACAAAACACGGAAAGAGAAAAAATATTTGTAAAGAATATTATTTTGTAATTTTTTTATTTTTAAAATTTGTTATTTATTAAAATAATTTCGAGTAAACTTAATATTTAATTATTAAATATTTAAAGCATTCTTCGTTGTGGCATAATATGATAAAATGATTAATTGTTGGTTTATTTATTTGCCCGACCCCCCCACCCTCCCTCAACAAAAAATTAGGTACATAGTGCACTTGAGAAGTAGTTCAACTAACAAGACCTTGTTCAAGTGCTTTTTGCTTTTAATGAAATCCAACCTCTGAATTATGAAGAAACCATTGAACAACAGTTTCCCCTGAATGTAGTTTAGAATAAAAATATTATATTAAAATAGATTTTCTATAGTCTTTAGGTTTTTATGTGAATACAGAAATAAAAGAATGAATATTATATTAATGTCTCCTAGGAGAATATTCTAAAATGTAAACAGTTCCCTCTACAGGTCTAAACTTTATTATTTCATGTATAAATATTTACGACATGCATTGCATTCTGAGAGAAAGTATAAATACTCGAACAGGAAGTTTCCCACTTCCCTTCCCCCCCCCCCCCCC